CCCTCCCACCCCCGCACACACACACACACACACACCCCATCAGCTTTTGTTTACAAACAAGAAATCTCACAAAAAGTCTGCAAGTGTTGCCAAAAGAGATGGTGAATTGGTGCACACCACAAAAAATGTGTCTGCTCATTAATCTAATTTGAAGGAAGGGGCATCCTATTAGTCTGAATTTTCTGGTGAGGTAAAGAAGTCTGGAAGAGGGATGGGAAAGAGTCATGGGGAAGCCAGTGAAGCTTTTAGCTTAATAAGACTTTATATTTAGACCATGCGCTGCTGACTCACTCAATACAAAACTTCTGAGAATGAACCTGTTTTTGTACCACAGGAAGACTTGAAGTGATATGTCATAGACTTTAAAGACTTGAGGTGAAACCAATCTTAAAATCTAATTGATTTTATGTAAGCTGCATCTCACTTGCCAAGTCTATTCAGATTCAGAGATTACAGAAGTTTTCTGTTCTTAATGATGTAGGCCTAAAGATGGATCTCAGACTGAATCTCTCTCCTCCTATCTGTGAGTATAAAACTCAGAATCAGAGCCAATAAACACCCACTGTCACTTGGCAGGGTGTCACTTCATGAAGTGCCTTCCCAAAAGAGACTGCAGTCTTAAAACAAATCTGTTTAAATGTCCTGAACAAGTTCTGTGTTTTGGTTCTCAAATACTGATTCTATATTTTCCTATTTGGTATTCCACCCCCTCAACTATCTGAGAGTTTGACTATTTTTAACTCCTAAAATGAGCAATGTATGTACAGTGCATGGTAAAAGTCTGGAATTTGATCAGTTAATGAAACACCTTGTTTCAGTGTTTCATTACTAGCTTTGAAGACGTTGAAACACTTCAACCAAAAAGTTGCTAAAGCTGCACTAAATGTGACTTTTTACATTAAATAAAGGATGTATGCCAATATGATAAATGAAAGGAGCTTCTGGTGCTGACAAATTCAAAGGGAGTGTAATTATTTCATGGTTCCCTGTAAAACACTTTACTAAAGGTAAATATAATCTTCAAATGCACTAAACCTGGAACAATGCCAGCTTAAAGACATTGTGTGGTGGTTTTTGAAGCAACATCCTGTTAAGCAGTTGTCAGAAGGTAGTACCGTTAGAGCATGACTTCAGACTGTTAGAATATGGTGAGATGAGTGGGCTAGGACCATGATTAACTAAATGAGGGTTCAATTTAGTGTCTTTATTTTTTTAAAGTTTATTAAACAGCTATTTCTCAAAAATGTCATGTAAGTTTGAAAGATTGTTACATGAGTCAATATTAAACCTCTGTTAAACCAGATCAGACAGATGGACGACTTTCTTCATTAATTCAACCTTTATTTAGACAGATAAATCACACTGAGCCTCAGAGACTCATTTACAAGGGAGATCTGTTTAGACAGACAATGAAGTAGTGAAACTGAACACACGTAGGAAATTGGAGGCAAAAAAAAAATCATATCAAACTCTTTCTTCTTGGCTGAGAAAACCCTGATAATGAAAAAGAAAACCACCCTGCACAGACAAGCGCATGGTGACCTAGAACATTCCGCGGGGGGACGACAAGTCTAGTGGACTCAGCAGGCTTTCTGTATTGCAGTATGTATTAATACAGAAATCTTTTGGGGAAAAAACATGTTTTTAAAGGGGCTTTTAGTTTGGTTAGCTTTTAGCTTTAGCATAGCTTGGAAGAAAACATCTGCTCTTTTTTTCTGTTTTCAGTGACTGATGTCACCGTTCATTACGTTGGATAACCATTTGACAAAATATTACTTCAAAAATCACCAGAATATCTCAGGTTTTTAAAGTAAAGTTCTTCAGGTGTCCATCCATCCATTTTCTTCCACTTATCTGGGGTTGAGTCGTGGGGGTAGCATCCTAAGTAGGGAGGCCCAGACTTCCCTCTCCCCAGCCACTTGGGCCAGCTCTTCCGGGGGAATCCCGAGGCGTTCCCAGGCCAGCCGAGAAACATAGTCCCTCCAGCGTGTCCTGGGTCTTCCTCTGGGCTTCCTTCCGGTGGGACATGTCCGGAACACCTCACCAGGAAGGCGTCCAGGAGGCATCCTAAACAGATGTCCAAGCCACCTCAACTGGCTCCTCTCAACGTGGAGAAGCAGCAGCTCTACTCTGAATCCCTCCCGGATGATCGAGCTTCTCACCCTATCTCTAAGGGAGAGCCCAGACACCCTGCGGAGAAAACTCATTTCGGCCGCTTGTATCCGAGATCTCATTCTTTCGGTCACAACCCAAAGCTCATGACCATAGATGAGGGTAGGAACGTATATCGATTGGTAAATTGAGAGCTTCGCCTTTTGACTCAGCTCTCTCTTCACCATGACAGACCTGTACAGCGCCTGCTTCACTGCAGACACTGCACCTATCCGCCTATTGATCTCACGCTCCATTTTTCTCTCATTCGTGAACAAGACCCCAAGATACTTGAACTCCTCCACTTGGGGTAGGACCTCCTCAGTGACCCAGAGAGGGCACTCTACCCTTTTCCGGCTCAAGACCATGGCCTCGGATTTGGAGGAACTGATCTTCTTCTCGGCCATGTCGCATTCGGCTGTGAACCGCTCCAGCGAAAGCTGTAGATCACGATCTGATGAAGCCAATAAGACCACATCATCTGCAAAAAGCAGAGACGCAATCCTAAGACCACCAAAACGGATCCCCTCAACATCAACACCTTGGCTGTACCTAGAAATTCTGTCCATAAAAGTTATGAACAGAATCGGTGACAAAGGGCAACCTTGGCGGAGTCCAACTCTCACCGGGAACAAGTCCGTCTTACTGCCGGCGATGCGGACCAGGCTCTGACACCGGTCATACAGGGACCTAACAGCCTGTATCAAAGGGCTCGGTACCCCATACTCCCAGAGTATCTCCCACAGGGTTACCCGAGGGACACGGTCGAAAGCCTTCTCCAAGTCCACAAAGCACATGTAGACCGGTTGGACAAACTCCCACGCACCTTCCAGGACCCTGCAGAGAGTGTAGAGCTGGTCCAGTGTTCCACGGCCAGGACGAAAACTGCACTGCTCCTCCTAAATCCGAGGTTCGACTATCCGATGGACCCTCCTCTCCAGAACCCCCGAATAGACCTTACTAGAGAGGCTTAAGAGTGTGATTCCCCTGTAGTTTGAACACACTGTACAGTCCCCCTTTTTGAATAGGGAGACCACCACCCCGGTCTGCCAATCCAGGGGAACTTCCCCCGATGTCCACGCAATATTGCAGAGTCGCTTAAGCCAACACAACCCTACAACATCCAGAGCCTTAAGGAACTCCGGACGACTCTCATCCACCCCTGGGGCCCTGCCACCGAGGAGCTTTTTAACTACCTTGGTAACCTCAGCACCAGAGATTGGAGGGCCTGATCCAGAGTCCCCAGGCTCCGCTTCCTCAGTGGAAGACGTGCCGGTGGGATTGAGGAGGTCTTCAAAGTATTCCGCCCACTGACCATCAACATCCCGAGTTGAGGTCAGCAGCACACCACTCCCACTATAAATAGTGTTGGTGGCGTACCGCTTTCCCCCCC